CGGCGAGAAGCACCGGCGCGCCGCGTCGCCTGTCCCTTTAACAAACCTTACTGGGACTGGAAAGGGGCCGGGACAGCCCACCCCCGGCGCGCGCCCATACGTCAGCTGTGAAACCTGCTTCCTGCCGATTGGTTGTATGTGACCACTGAGTCATTTCATTGGCGCCCCCTCCACACACGCGCTGGCGCGGGGAGGCAGTGCGTGATCAAGGTGTTCTGACCAATCCGGAGACGCAACAGTTCACGTGCACAGGCCGCTTATTGGCTAGAGCAAGGCACCGGCCCGGGCCATAGACCAATAGTGAGGTGGTGCGCCCACGTGGACAGACAGTGGGAAACAATATCTGTCAGGGAGCGCAGTGGAGCCTGGTATCTCCCTCTTCGCTTGCTGGCGGTTCCCATGGTTGCAGACCGGGGGCGGGGTTCCTAGCTGCTTGAAGACGCTTTGGTAGTGTCACCGGGTTCTGGGGAACTCGGAGTTGTTGCTGCAAGCGGCTCTTTAAAATAACATCTGCAATACTGGAAAGGAAGTAGTTGCTCCGGAAAATGGAATTCAGCTGCGTATCTCTGTGAAACTTGAGGGCCGGCTGTGTGAGAACTTTAATGGGTATCTTAGAATCTACCGACCTCCAAGTTTCTGAGCCAGTCTCTTAGTGGCTTTCAAAATTCCCATAGTAGGTAAGGACTGAAGACCTGAGTGAAAGCTGTTTTTCTAAGCCTGATCGCCCTAGAGACATCTTCTCCCAGCGTCTCTAACCCGGGACAGGTGGAACTCTTAATTCTTCCGGCTGGAAACAAGGTCATGAATCAGATTGTTTCAAAACAGTATCTGTCACCCACGTTACTGGAAACGACAGGACTTCATTATTTTTATGGCTGAATAATATTTCATTTGATCATTATAATCGTATACATGTACGGAATTAATGTACTGTACCCAATAAAGATATACACATATTATGTCTCAAAAAAGAGACATAAGAAACATCTGTCACTCACGTTTCTGCCCCATCCAAACCAGTTTCCTGACCGCAGTATCACAGTCCATGACAATTTCTAGGTTCTTTGATGACCTGCTCTTCTTCTTCCCCGTAGTAGATTTTAGATTTTCCCCTAATCTTCCATTTCTTCACCCTTATAAATTTATTTTGCCATGAAACATAGCTGTCACTATCTGGCTATGATTTTTCTAATCTTTTAAATTTTCCACTTATCAAAATTCCAAGTTTGTGATCTGTTATATGGATTAATTAGTCACAAATGGAGATTTAAACATTTTCTTGTAGATTTTTTTTAAAGATCCCAAAAGGAAACGTTATTCTACTGGGGAGAATAGTTTATTAATGTGGAATTAATAAGGCTGTTGGTGTTCAGAGTCTCCGCAAGACGTCTCATAATGGAAAGGACCACGGATCTAGCTTTGCATAGTTGATAGTCTGAGTTTTTGATCTTCTTGTTTAGAACAGCCTCTTAGATACTCTTCCATGGCCTATTTTCTGTCATAGCACAGCCTGTTCTTATATGTTTACTTGCATATAGTTGTATGTAGGTCATTCCCTGGGAAACACAAATGTGTTATTATCTATTTTTTTTCTTTACCTCCAGTATCCAACATACGGCTTAGCACACAATAAGCACTCAGTAAATGTGCATTGACTCATTGAGTGCAGAATTCCAAGCCGCCTTGTGTTATTGGTTCTTCAGTAAATGAGTAGTACCCTGGCTCTTACTCAATACAGTATCATTGTCTCCAGGCAGATGTTGTTCAACACATTCCTCTAAAACTTAAGGTGCCAGGGAAGGGGAAAAGGACAATGACCCTAACCAAATAATGAAAGGATATGGCTTTCCGTGATGAAAAAGACTAGGCTTGTGGAAAGGGCAGCAGAATCTGTGACCAACTGTGGCTTAAACAGTCTATTTCTTGTTTACTGTACAAGAAGTTCAATAGTCAGCACAATTAGGGTTGGTTCATCAGACTTTTGAAATCATTTCCTGCAGTACTAGCTCCCTTTGTGGTAGCAATGATGACCACAACTCTAAATATCTCTTCAAAGCACAAAGCAAAGGCATGTCTGTAAACAAAAGAAAAAAAGTACTCTCTTCTGAGAGAGGAGATACCTTCAACTGATGGCCACAACATATTTCTTCCATGTTATTGGTCAAATCTGAGTCACATACGCAGTAGTGGGTTGTTAATTAGCAATTCCTTTAGACTAGGGGTTTCTCCTCTGAACATTGATCAGAGTCAGAGCTCTGTGAGCAAGGAATAGGGGCAGATGGCTTTTGAGTAGGTAACATGTAGAGCCATTGGAGTGGCTTGCTTAGTTCTGGCCCGGTTTGCTACAGAGCAGAGCTGCCTAAGCCAAACATTAAAAAAAATAGAGATAAACAATCAAAAACTATTTTACAGTTAGAAGGCAATCTACATGGTGACTCACCACACTCATAGAGAAAATTCCACTTGTATATGCATACATCTTAATGCATATTTGGGATGAGTTAACAGCATAGCAGCATAGAAGAATTACTAATAAAAATCCAAACTGACAATCTCTGCTTTTAATTGATGTGCTTAGACCATTTACATACAATGTAATTTTTGGTGATGGATGATGTGATCTGAATCCTTGCGTCCCTCTTGAATTTCTATATTGAAATCTTAACACCCAAGGTGATGGTATTTAAGAGGTGAGGGCTTTGGAGGTAACTAGATCAGAAAAGCAGAAACATCATGAGTGGGACCAGTACCCTTACAAAAGAGGCCTCAGAGTGATCTCCTTCTTCTTCCACTATGCCAGGACACAGAAGTTGCCATAGATGAACTGGGCCCTCACCAGACTCCAAATCTTCTGGATCCTTGATCCTGGACTTTCCAGCTTCTAGAGTATTAAGACATAGAAGCCACCTTATTTATGGCATTCTGTTACAGCAGTTCAAGTGGATTTATGCAGTGATCTTATTAGTGGCTTTGATTGTACCTTAATTTACTTCTATTTCTCTCATCTCTCTTTCTTGACTTCATTTTGATTATTTGTATGCCTTTTAGTAATCTAGTTAAATTTAGTTTTA